CCCCAAAACCCCAAAACCCCAAAACCCCAAAACCCCTTTGATAATATAATTACTACCAAAATTTAGTTGATATGGATCCAACCGAGAACAAGGATGCAGAAATGCCTCCTACTGAAGAGGTAAGCTAAGCTCAAACATGTCATAACTCTGTGTAGCCAAAGCCAGAAACACCAGCTGAAGAACCAGCTGCAGATGGAGAAAATCCTGATGAGGAAAAGAAGGAAATACAAGAGGAGAAGCCTAAGGGAAAGCCAATCAGCGATCTTGTAAATCAAGGAATGGCAAGCAGTATCATCGAAATGGGATTCACAAAAGCTGTAGCTGAGAAAGCTCTTTTGTACACAAACAACGCTTCAGTGGAGAAGGCATTTGAGTGGATCCAAGAGCACCAAGAAGACCCTGATTTTCTAGAAGAAGAGTTCCTTGCTCCAGATCAACCGACTGAGGACCCTAACAAGCCGAAGTTGACTAAGGAAGAGAAGATCCAAGCTGCCAAAGATCTTCAGAAGAGGCTTAGAGGTAGTTCTTCCATCTTGACCATTTAGAGAAGAGAATAGCTGAAGACAAGAGGCTTGAAGAAGAACGTGAAAAGGAAAGAATCAGAAGTATACATTCTAATCACATTATTAGGCACCAAAGAACTCCAGAAAGCCAAGAAGAAAATGGAGGAAAACGAAGCTAGACTCCGCCTCGAATTGGAAAGAAAAGAGAAGAAGGAGTTTAACGAAGAGAAAAGAAGAATGGAAGAGCTTCTCAGAAAGTACCCACTTTGGTGTTAATATGTAGGGAAGCAGCTGAGAGAGCAGGCAAGAAGTATGTTCCAGGAGAGACTACGAAGATTAAGAAAAAGCCGTCCCTCCAAGCAGTCAAGGATGCAGCCAAGATTGTGATGACATTATATACTGAGGATAGACGCCCAGGAGTGGCTAAGACTTGCTTCAAGACTTTTTATACCCTCTGCAAGAATGTATTGAAGGATACTGATAATCAAAAATTCAGAATTGTCAACCTTGCTAATGAGAAGATAGCAGCCAGAATCGGAAAGATCTCAGGCGGGCTTGGCATGCTCAAAGGAGTTGGGTTCTATGAAAATGATGAAGGTAATTTAGAACTCATGGATGAACACCTGGACCCAGATTTGCTGAAGGAAGCAATGGAGTTAGTTGAACTTAAAATGAATTAGACAATTCCATTAATCTGAAGTTAAAAGGGGTTTTGGGGTTTTGGGGTTTTGGGGTTTTGGGGTTTTGGGG